ATATATGCGCGTTGACTTGCACACTGTCACATGCATATGTGTATAAATGTGGGTATGTTAACTTTATTGTAAATATGTGGCGTAGTTTGGAGAACAACTCCGGCGTGCAGTCATCTCATCCAAATGTATATAAGTTAATTTGATACACCGTTTAAAAAATAAGATCATATATCAGGCGTACGGTTTGTATGTACGAACACGTAATACGTATAGCGAATAGCAATATCACTCACCTCGTGTACCATTTTATTGCATTATAACTATGGACTATAAAACAATACACACCTGCAATGTGAGCGTGACTTGTTGCTCCACTAGCTCAAGATCGGCTAGGTCATGCCTAGAGTTCGACATCGACATTGTGCACTCAATTCCATATATACCCAAGTTGGAGGAAGTTCCAAAGCTATCTAGCTTTCGGGAAAGTCATATCACAAGCCAGAGTTTCACACTCAAATCGAACGGGAAATATCTGTTATATGCGTTTATAACTCTCTCAACATATATTAATAAGGGGATAAATAGTATCGTATATGAATCGCACTCACCATAGGCCTATATAACATATTCTGTAACATCAGGAATGTTAGGTCATATGTAAATACCAGCCCATAGTGACAGGCTCCAACCACACATAGACGCCCTGGCGAGTGGTGACCCTCTCGTAGAATTTGTAGGTTGGTGGATTTATGGAAAGGGCGGGTTAAGTTCCACCAATCGGATTCTTGGTAATTTGATAGCATGTTGTGATTCAAGTGATTGCTACATCTACTACTGTGTGTACCATGTAATTAAATTGTATCACACGTAATGAGGTGAACGACCTTGCTATCCATATAAATAGAGCTACAGGCATTCATTCCGCGAGCATATTGTGTATATCATCGGTCCCAGGGTGGATACATGTATACACATAACAGGCTTATTGACCTGTAAAAGAGAGTACGCTATAGCTGGATATATACAGTGTTCATTCAGCCGAATACAAGGGTTTAGGCAAGAGACATGTACAACAGATTTAGGGGTGTAAGTTCTATATTCCGAACCATGCACCGCCCCTTCCGGTCATACCGGTCATATATGAAAGGTATCCCACGCACATGCGCTCGCTCATCTCACACTCGTAGAGAGGCACATCAGGTGCTGGCTAACAAGTTACTGACAGATAAGGAGGTCACACAAAGCACCAGAAAGCTAATCAGAAGCGTTCTAGACGGACGCACTCCTATGCTGGCGGCTGATAATCCCTTCAACTTTAAATGTAAGCGTACCCAAGAAGTTTGTATGTGGGCTGTTTACTGCTATTTTTGATCTGCATAAACTACCACTGAAGAGGGAAACTACGCTGTGGATACTTGTGGTTTGTAGGTGTTTAAAAAAACCGAGCAACGATGGGGTGTGTATATGTGTATATATCTACTGTCCCAACAATATACTATAGTATTCATATATGTATTATTCCCTCTGTTCGTGGGTGTCTAAGTTGAAGCTTCCAAGTATAGAATGATGAGTTATACACTT